ACTGTTTATTTGGATATCGATTCTTAATATGAATGGATATAATTTAATTAATTATTATAGGTAAAGTTTTAATTCCCTTTACAATCGTCCACTGCCAATTTCATCCCCTTTTTTGTTGTTTTGATAATATATAACCTATTTTCACCGCTTATAATGTAGCTTTCCGTCTGTGAAAGGATTTTTAAAATCGGTCGAGTAGCTTCGGAGCCTATTCGTTGCAAACAAATAAACAATTTTTTTTTTAATCTTTATAACATAACTTCTATGCTTATAGATTACTTTTCTGTTTAAAATGCGTATTGCCAATTTATACTTACTTACATTTTAAATACAGCAGATTTAATGTGCGCAATGTAAAATTGTTTAGACAGGGTGGAATTTGACAGATCATTGTTTCATAAATGCTACGTGCCATATCTGAACATGATCTGATAATTTTGTAATATCTACACATATAGTGGCAAGTAGCGCAGTTGTTTGCATCTGTTCTAAGTATTACTGTGGTATATTTTGTTGGTTGTTTTTAAATAAAGCTCTGAATACTTCGGCAGAGGTGATGAGTAAATAAGTTTAATTATATTCTCCTTAATCACCCATAAGGAAAGCGTGAGCTCCAGCAGTTGGAACGTAACAGGACCGATGGTTATGATTCTATATTTAATCAATTTTGTATTCAGAGTGCTGTTATTCACTGCATTCGCTTTTTTATCTTAAGCTATATAATAATTAAAAAAAAAAAATCTGTAACATTTCTTTTGGCTGTTTAGTTGAATTATCTAAACAGTGACAAGAATAAGTTAAAAAGTAGAGAAAATGACAAACTACTAAGAAGTTATCGATTGGAATCTCATCTTATTTAATTTCAGTTTTCTTTGATATAAATTAAATTTCCTTATTTTCACATCAGTTTTAAATAAAGTAACCTATTTATATGAAGATCTCGTATCTGTTAACTCATGGAAATATAAGATAGAAGCCCTCACCTCATATGTGGTAATATGAATAAAATATGGATTCATCAGTCGAATAAACGAACATTTCGTGTCGGAATAACGTTGTGTTCACACCATGTATAACGATCACTTGGCTTTATTTGACTATGTCGTCAGAAGCAGACGTGCATCAGGACTTTGATTTATACATTCTATTTAAGCTAACATAATGAAGAACGATATGAATGAAATTTCAATATTGGACGTTTTGCACTGATAATTCGTATACAAATGTATACAAAATGTTGAATTTACGAAAACAATTTGAACACTATCTTGATTATACGACAGATTTAATATAATTGAATCTAATCAGTTTTGAAAATAACATTGGTCATAGCCATGGCCCTAAGACAGATAGCATCATGCTATCTGTGTTGTTGTATGTTGAGTTTTCGTTACGTATTATGCATGACTAATCTTTGATTTAATTATACAGTCCACTCGTAAGCTGTCGATAACAGGCAGCTATATTTTAATCATATTGCAATAAACATATTTGCATAAGCATTTGATAGTTATTACAATACAATGTTTACAAATCACTCGTAGTTGGTATATACCTAATGATTAAAATTAATAGCTATACGTCCGACGGAGATTTAACATTTTTTTAATGTTCATCGATTTTTCCGCGAATTATTGAAAGTTATTTTTTATTCGACAACATAATGAACTCAGCTGTTCTTATTTAAACCAGTAGTATGTATATTTTATATGTAAGTAGGTATATTTATCGATTTCTCCTTGAATTGTGAACCAATTTCTATCAAACTAGCTGTTTCCCCGCGACTTCGCATATAGCTTCGCGTAAATGAAAGACTTATAACTGATTAAATAGTTTCGGAGCCTATCCAATGCAAGCAAACAAACTATTACATATTTCCTATTAATCTATGCGTCACTCCATCTTGTTTGTGTGCGCAGTGGATTTATTTACAGAGATTTTTAGAAAATATAAAACTAGTCGAAACCGTCTTGTTGCTTGTGTTTTCGTCCCGCTAGGGGGCGCCTATGTACAGCAAGCAATACTAGGGCCCTCTGCTGGCGTAATGTTGTTTTATGCCACGACAATATAAGTATAGATTATTGAAAAAAATACGTCAGCAAATACACAAAATTTTGCTTTCCTAAGACTTACTTTTTTGTCATATATTTATATAGATTTTTAATTGGTAGTTTTTATATAAAAAAAATATAGTATATATTAATATCACTCAACAGCATGAAATTTTTATTTATTTAACTTTTTTTATCAACTTCAAAGATTAAAAATAATACTTCCTATCTGAAAACTGACTTATTCATGAAAATGCTATTGAAGTCGGGTGCTTATCATTTAATTAAAACCTACAGAAAACCGGCGCCCGATTCAATATCATTTTCTTGAATAAGTCGATTTTAAGATACTCGTAAGTATTATTTTCCACTTTTCTAAATTTTGAAGTCTGTGCATAAAATTCGAAACTAATGATACACGCAGTTAATGCCAGTGTATGGACTTATTTATAGAACTGTTTTTATTTATTAATTTCAACTTTAAAACAGTATGTGGAATTAAAGACGTCGTTTACGAGCTTACTGCATATTAGCAGAGTAGCTCGCCGTTTTCAAGATGTTATTATCTCTGAATTCCCGGATTCCATTTCCGGTCAGGTCAATGTAGGAGAAAAGAACGGTCGTGGATTTTCTTCATTGCCACAATGCTATGTAGTTATTTGACTGCTCAATGCGTCGTGAACGTTTAAATTAGAGCCATAACACGAATTTCGCTATGTAGTTATTTTGCGATTGCTGCATCGCGTTGTCAACTACACGCCAAGATAGCGCCACGGCCTGCGATTGTTGTTGTTAAATAACTTTTGCAGGGGATGGGTGACCAAAAAATTATTATTCCGTGCTTCGGAAGACACGTTAAACAGCTGCATTTGCAGTCGTTAATACCATCCAATTTGCATTGGGCCAGCGTGGGGGTCATGGCCCATCCTACTTAACAATCCATAAGGAAGATCTGAGCCCTTGCAGTGGGGATGTAAAGGGCTGATGATGATGATGATGGTAAAGCATATGTGGCACTTTCTAGAACGACAATCTCAAAATTGATTGTATTTTGAATATAATAAACTTATTGAAGATGCATTCACCGAGTAGATTTATCATATAATTTATCGAAAACCATATATTAACGCCTTTATTAAAAGTCCATAGAGACAGAGTGAGTGGTCATTAGTAACCGTAATTGACGCTCAAGCTATAATCGAAAAGAAAATAAAATACACACATACACACACATACATTCTTGTGATCCCGAGTATACAAAACTTAACAAATCTAGAGCTTGATTACAGTTGTTGGGTTGTTTGTTTTCCTTTTAATACGCGAGTCAAATAAGTCAACAACTTAAGATAAACATTTATCAACGTTTGTAGGCTACCTACTTAATTTTCATAGAGATAATATTGCTTCTTAATGAATCAATATCGACTTGCCAAGTTATCAATATATCATATTGGAGGTCTAACTAAATAAAATCATTACTTTATTATATGTTAATTTCAAACTTTGATCATGAGATTAAAAAGATTAAGTTATATTATTAATTCCTATACATATTACTTCAAAAACTGCATGATATACTATTTGGTATTTATATTATTCATGGATAGAAAAATGACATAATAGATATAATTATGACGTCAAAGTCTAAAACTACAAGATCAGATAACGTTCCAATTTTAACCCCACATTATTTAATCGTACAAGAATCGTAATTTAATGATTTTTCAATTAAAAATAAATCAGTCAAAATTTTTCTAGTCAATATTTATATGTTGTATTCATTTTAATAAATCTAAAAATTATGTTCGTTGCATATACTCTATTATAAAAGTTAATGCTTCCTGGGAGGAGGAAAGCTATACAATGTTATGTCTTTTGTTTCGGTTCGGTTTACAATTATTACATTTTCTCTGGCGTTAATGCTGAGATATAGGTAGCATATAACAGCTGTAAAATCTCCTAGTATCTTTTCTCAGAAGGCTAATAAAAGAGGTTGCTGTAGGCAATATCGCACATTCGCAACAGATAAATTGTAAGAGTATTGTTGGTTGCATTCAACGGCGCTAAGTCCGTTCAAATGAAACTAAACGCCATTGTCTTATACCGCAATAGTTCAATTTCCTTGTGAATTTTAAGGCACTCGTGAATCACAAGTTAATGTCTCATTACTTGCAAGCGTGAGCAAGCCCATTGGTCGTTGCCAAAAAAATTCTACCAATTTGAAACAGCGTACTGTTGGTTCAGGAATAAGTTCAGTTAAGAAAAATCTCATTCAACCGCTCGTAATTATAATGATATCCACGTCGTTGGTTCCTTTGTTTGCATTTTAACGTTTTATTTATTTCTAGACTTGAATCTCAAGTTAAACGTTAATGAATAGATTAAAATCTGTAATATACATAAGAAGTATAAAATTGTTTTTAAAGTTGGGATTTTTAAGAGATAATGTAAGAAAGAATATCGACGGAGGAAAATAAAGCAAATATATTTGGTAAATATGCTTGGGTATAGGACTAATTAAAAATATATATATTTAGAAGTGTTTTTGTGTGAATTGGAAGTGAAGTATATAAGGTTATTTGGTAAGTTTGTAAATTACATATTCTAAATAAAAAAATAACAGGGACTAGATATAATAAATCTCGAAAGAATTGACGTTTCTTTAAAGTTATATAAAAAAATTCGTCATGAAGACCAAATTATTGGATGTGACAAAGAATATTCAGAAACTTCTGACGATATATCTTATCCCCAACGGTGCTCTAAACTGAACACTTGGCACATAATACCTCCTTCATATCCGCCCGTAAAATGATAAAAAAGTTTCATTGATGCAAACGTAAAAGTAACATTTTTTTTTTGTTAAAAATAACTATTATCGTGAGTTCTTTCAAAGATAGCAATGTATAAAAACTATAAATAAATCAACTAAAATATTCGATACTCACTTGAATCTCTGACCCAGTAGTTGATGGACTTTGGTGATGACTCCACGTAGCATTCGAGGGTGACGTCAGTGCCTAGTGGCGCTCCTACGAGCTGATTCGGCACTTGTATGACTGGATGAACTAATTAAAATAATTCTATTAGATTAATAAAAGAGTAGGTCGGTGGCGTAGTAGTTTAGCGGCACGGCCCGCGATCGTTGTTGTTAAGCAATTATCGTAAGGGTCGGCCTCGGCATGGGTGACCAAAAAATTACTATCTCTAACTACTCCGCACTTCGGATGGCACGTTAGGACCTTAGTCTCAGCTGCATTTGCAGTGGTTGAAACCCTCCAATCCGCTTTGCGCCAGCGTTCCTTAACCACCCATAAAAATGGATCCTGCAGTGGAGATGTAAAAGGGCTAATGAAGTGTAAATCAATGACTGAATCAAGAAACCACGTAACTGAAATTTTATCAACACATCTATTTTTAAGATAACTGAAAAAATACTTTAACAAATTACTGGCAAACTTTTAGCACTTTTCTTTTAGATAAACCAATGTAATCTAAGCTAAAAATGTTCCATGCTGATTGAATATGTAATAATATTGTTCGTATTATGCAAAATTAAAAAGAATCGCCCTTTCTCTTTTTTATTTTGTAAAAGTACGATATTTATGAATTATAGTATAGAAATCATATTTATTCATACTTAAATAGGATCGAAAATGCGAAACGTTAGTTCCCAAGATCTTGCTACTAATATATAAAGTAATAATTTAAAACTTATGTATTATTTTGCTTTGAAAGCTAATACATAAGTAAGTACATTTATATTGAATACAATATGTTAAGTTTTACGTTAATGGATTAAACTAATAAACTGATGCCCGAGACATCGTGGGTCTCAAATATATACTTGTCAGTGTTGTTGACTTTTAACGTATATATATTACAACATTAATAGAGTCTATATTTCAAAGGTGTATCCCATTGGCTTTGATTTTTTTGAACACATGTATTTTGATCCTGTTCGATGCTTTATAATAGCGTACTAATAGTTAACTATTATCAGATAACGACAAGAATGCCGTTTTATCACTGAACAATAATCTACCCAAATGTATTACTGTTGTGTAGCTCCAAACTTGAATCAGGACAGTAACTGTATTATTCGAGATAATAATTCAGAAACAACAATTGCTCATATTTTTGCAAACCTCTGTATTAAGCAAATGCTATATTTCTATAACAAGTTTTTTTTTGATAAACCGAATATAAAGTTAGCTTAAAATTACCATGTAAAAATTCGATCACATTCCTCAATTGTGAAACAGGGTACTTAAGTTTTAAGATAAATTATCAACACAGTACCAAAATATTCGTTCAAGTATACATGAATATAAAAAGAGTACATAACAGGGCGAAAATAATTAAAAGCTACTACTTGTTGACATTAAACAACACCATTAATAACAAGGAAGCTCTGAAAGTTGCCGAGATAAATAACAATTACAATGAATTTGCGGAGGATCTATTTCGTCCTGTGAATTAGGTAGAAAAAGGACTTCCCAAAAATATTAAGAAGGTTATTTTGACCAAAGCGAATGATAAATCTTTGGACATCTTGCTTATAAAGTAGACAAGCAATTGTTCGTATGAGTAATACGTATAGAAATAGTAACAGATCATATTAATATATCAATCAGTAGATTTCTGTATCTTAATACAACAGCGTAGCTTATGAGCTACGTAGTTTATATTTTCACAGTAACGCCTCGTTGGTATTAGGTTGGTACTAGTTTGTAGTGTTGACTTTTATATTTCAAAATCTTTGTTTCATCAATGATATATCTCAAGCATTCCTATCGTTTTGTAAACATCATAATATGTACTTACAGTGAACTTTGATTTGTATCCTTTTACTGATTGACGGAGGTACTCCATTACTTGCGATACAAAGATATGCTCCCATGTCGGAGCGAGATATTTTTGTCAAAATCAGTGTTTCTTTTTCATACATCTGAACTGTGACAAAAAATATTATAATATATGTGAATAGTAGCAAAACATAATACCGTTTTAGTATAAGCACATTATAGATATAGCGGTTACCTCTGTTTTTGTTCCCATGATTATCCTTTATAACTATGTCAGTACCATCTTCCCTTCTCCACATGACTCTCGGTTCAGGCATTCCTTTTGCTCGGCATGACACTTTTACTGTACCACCTTCTGGCACCATAACATCACCTGACGTTTCTTCTGCTATGAAGTCTGGTGGAATAACAACTTCTAAAAATCCCATCTGTTGGAAAAAATAATTTAGTTTTAAAGAACTTTTTTATATTTTGGTTAATATTGACGGAAACGAAACGGTTTCATATTTCCAAATCTCGTGAATTTTTGATGCACTATGGAGTACTTTAGGCGTCATGCTGCGTCGACGCGACATCACCGTCAAAACATTGAGCGCTGTCGCCGCGCGCGATTTATGCCGTTATCAGGCCCGCATATAAATTACACCGAAGCGCAATAATTTAGGGGTACCATGCACGAATCATTACCCGCTGCGTTTGTTCCTCGCCCTGCAGTTTAATTCACTTTATCTCTCATATGGTTTATCGTAACTACCGCTTAATTCATTATTGATCCAACGCATTCTTTTTGATCACATAGCAATAATCCAAATTAAGATAACACAAAACACATCATCGACATGTCTAATATAAACGTTAATCCAGTTGGCTGAGTTTTGATAGATAAACGATCAATAAAAATAGACAATGTCTAATATAAAAATAATGGAACAGAATCCAGAATATTACTCAAATACAGAACGAAGATGGACTACATACAATATCTATAAGATGTTTATCTGGGCGTGGATGTTGAATGATGTAGCTATTTCTATAGCAGTTGCGGTGATATCACATAGTGGATTCTATATTCACTTCGCGTTATATATATTTGCAGTGATATTTATTGGAATCCCATTGGTATACTCAGAAATATGTCTAGCACAGTACACCAACAAAGGAATAATTTCATTGTGGAATTTCTTTCCAATTTTCCGTCCAGTTGGCTATGGAGCAGTTTATTTGGCTGTCATTAAATATATATATCTGATGACACTAACTTCATGGTACCTTCAATATACTTTTTATGCTGCCCTAGATCCGCCACCGTGGTACACTTGCGATGACTTCAATAGCACCAGTTGCATGGTAAAACGCATTAACGTTTCTGTGTATCAACACTGCTTAGAAGCTCAATTATTATTCGATGATGATTGCGGCATTAAAACAGCGAGCAACTGCTTTTTTGAACGTGAAATTGGCGACAAAAATTCGTTGACATCTTTATTCTGCGCATTTTCATGGAAATCAATAGTTGCAAGTGGTACAATAAGCTGTCTTCTGTTTGTTTTATCACTACGAAAAATGAAATTTGTTCAGATGTTTGTCAAATGTTTGGCTATGTATATATGCTTTGTAATTTTAGTATTGCTATCAGTTGCATTGTCTACAAGTGGAGCTTGGTATGCAACAGAAATTACTATTGATTGGAGTAAATATGGCTTTGAAAATTGTTTCAACTCCATTCTTTCGGGATTTATTTCTCTAGGAACAGGTTATGGTGTTATAGGTTTTTTAACAAAAGATGTTTCGTTTCGTAGTCCTGCTAATATGACAGCAATATCAACATCGTTATTAGCGCTTTTTATCACCATTATGTATACTCTTATAATTTTCAGTGGAATAAAAACTATGTCCTATTATCACGGTGAAGAGGAAAATGTAATCGAAACGGGCGTTAGTAGTTTTTTTCAAGAATTTGCTTCTATATCAGAGATATTGAGCTATTTCGATCAAACACCGATGTGGGGTTTCATTTGGTTTTCGTCAATATTTCTTTGCTTGTTACTGAATTTATGGATCTTACATTATTATCTAAAAAGCGTTATAATTGACAATGTTAGCTTTGCAAGAAAACATGGTAGCATATCAAGTATTGTGATGACATTTATATTAACTCTTCTTTCTTGGCCAGTATTTTGTTCAGATATTACTGGTGCTTTTTTAAATGCCATTCATATTATACAAATAATCAGTAGCCTTTTATTTTCCATAGCTTTGTATTGGTTTTATGGTCACAATAAGCACAACGTCGACATTATATTTATGATTGGTATAAAAGCTACTTGTTTTTGGAAAGTTGTGTGGATTTTAAATCCAATCTTAATATTTTGTATATTATATACAAAATTTGCTTCATTGGAAACACAGCCATTTGATGACATTCTTATGATTGGTGATATAAATCATGACATTTTAATCGTTTACATCATTGTGGGAGTTTACGGTATTCTTATAGTTTCTAACATGATTATTCAGATTATATTTTATTTATATAATAATAGCATTCGAGATGCATTCTTACCAACCGAAGACTGGGGACCGAAAGATTATATTTTATTCAAGAGCAGAAAAATGTTCGTACCAGAAATAATGACAAGAGAATTTTTGTACCGTCAAGTGAGGATACACGGTTATTCTAATAAAAACAAAATCGTTAAGAAACGAAGGAGTGAACAATGTGAAGTTGATGAGACTTCAAGTCAAGTGACGGAATGGAGTGCATTCACATCAAACTGATTGCAATATAAATAGAAATCAATATTACCTGGCTTTTCATAGGATCCGTATTGATTTGGCACATATATTGACCTCGGTCTTCTTCTTGAACGTTTTTGATGTGTAAGTTCCACACAGATTGACCGCTGTGTGACACTTCTACTCTATGATTGTTTGTTATTACATGCACATGTATAGCTTGTATGGCTTTGGTATCTGCTTTAACCCATCCTACCTGTTTAAACAAAAAGAAATTGGAACATCAAAATAAATAATTATGTTTTGTATAGTTAAACGCAGTATTCGATTGGTTATTTCTTATTTGGTGATATTACCATCATGTTGTTTTAATATTTAAATACGCAATAATCGATTGTATTATAGATAAGAAATGGAATAGACCAATATAAGCTTCTTGCTAAAGACCTATCGACTGTAGTTACAATTATCACGAACAATTAATAAGAACAAAAAAGAAATTATTATAGCAAATTGTCCATTTACGTTCGTCCATAGCGTTAAACATTTTCTTTGTGATGTATTTTTTTAAATTAAGAAATAAATTACCGCCTACTATCTAGCTCTTCTTTTTTCTCTTAAATGAAATAATGCAGCACATAGTAAATTTAGTTGAAGGAGTCTAGTTAAATTAGTTGCTTGGAATAAGGTCTAAAATATATTTATATTACACATACCCTGTAACCACCGAGGTTTTGTACCAAACATTGGAATGTAGCGTCACGTCCGACTGGAACTGTCAAGTTTGTGATAGGTTCTGCGAATTCAGGCTGAAATGCTTCACCTGTGAAATATTTATTTCTACTCATAAAATTCGTGTGCACTTTACTTTGATAGGCTGTCACTAGTCTATTAATGTACCCAGTGCTGGGGCACAGACCTTCCTTATGGATGGAGTAAGATAAAGAGTAAGGGTCATAACCCATCACCCAAACTCAGTGCAGATAAGTCGGTATCAGATGCAGCAGGGACTAACGGCCAGAAGTACGGAGGAGTTCGAGGAAGTAAATCTTTGGTCACGCACGCTGTGACCGGCCTTTGTGAAAGTTGCAAAATTTCTGCGTCGCAGACCAAGCCTGTGATTTACTGCGCCATCGAATTTTTCATTGTCAGTTAACTAAATATGTATATGGCATTATTGTTACCTAAAATTGAAGAACTCAAGAACATCCTATTAATATTATAAATGTGAAAGTTTCTTTGTTTGGATATTTGTCGGTCAATCACGCCGAAACTAATGAACGGATTTTGACGAAATTTGGTATACAGATAGGGTATTAGCTGACTTAGATAATAGGTCTTTTTATCCCACTTAACATGTTCCTAGGGATCACGCGGGCGAAAGCTAGTTAATAATAAAAGAAGAAAATGTGTTTTTAGTTTTTGATTCTAAGGTCACAGATACCATACATTTATGCGCATTTTAGAATTAATTTAAGACTTTTACAGAAATCAAATATTTTTTAGTTAAAGATCAAAAATACAAATAAATTATGTACTTACCCACGAGTTTTGAGTCTAGGCCAAGCATACAAATAGCTAGCAGGTATAACGACCACCAAGGCTTACGCATATTTTTGGTTACTGATCCGTCGTTCAGCTCCTAAGCCGGATCTCTAGACTGCAATAAAAGAATAAATATTAAAACATTAGCGAAATATTCTAGAACATAGAACATTAAACGGATTCAAAGTACAAATTGCTAGATTTGATATGTGACTTCAGAGAAATAATTTATTGAATTGGTAAAAAAAATAACCTTTATAAATTCTGGCCTCTTCTAACCATATCCAAACAATTATTACGCCATAACATAAAATTACTGTTTAAAAGTTTGTTTTGTATTTTTTTTTGTTATTATTTATCAATCCTTTACAGGTTACATATTCACTTCGATTTATTATCAAAATATAAGATATTCGGGACTAGTCCTATTGGTAGGAGTAGAGAATTTTGAGTGCGGCCATGACCAATAGCATTAACATCTTATAAGAAGTAATAAATCAAGTGTGACTAAAAAATATTATATCGAATAAATTTTTGGTCACCCATCCGATGATCGACCTTTGTAAGTGCTATTTAATTACAATCACAAATCGATTGCACCTTTAATTGTATCTGAATTATGAATATTGGCCCGATGTGGAGTCTTTGAAACGTATTGCCATGCAAATGGACTGTACACGACACAATTTAGTGTTACAGACAGACTAAATTAAAAAAAAATCCAACTGAAACGTCACCGTTTGCAGACAGGTAATGAAACATATTATCATTATACGACTGTGAAAGATTTATACAGTCTTTATATGACTGTTTGCGTTCGAGACGGTGCAATTACGGTGCGTTCGTATGTCAACAAGATATGGGTATGCGGTCCCTTCCGCGAACATTTCGCGATGTCATCTGTCAATAATGATTCGACGAGCGTTTTGTATGAGGCTATCAGTTTGGAGCGTATGTACTTACACTTGTGCACCGGTAACTGCTTCGCAAAACTGCGATAATGCAAGAGAATGTGATGTGCTTTCATTGGCTCGGCTATTTCGATAGCGGTTGTGTTAGCTTGATAAAGTAGGCATAATAAACATAATACCTACCATGTCTTTACTAATATTTTTAAGCTTAAGAATTTGTTTCTTGGTTTCTGTGTTTGAACGCGCTAATCCCAAGAACTATGAGTACGAATTGACTAATAAATTTTCGTTGGATAATCTATTTATTGAGGCTATTTAACATAACGCTATGACTAATAGGAGTGGAGCAACAATAAAATATGGAAAAGCAGCCGTTTATTTAATTTAATTACCGAGATAGTCGAAAAGAATAATCAGTTTCGCGGCTTGATATTGAAAAACATGAGTTAATGTTCTAGTTCTATAAATGATCCTCTTTTTTAAACTTCTACATTAAAAAAACCGAATCCTTATAGATCACTCGCGTATCTACTTATTCGTTAGAGATTTTATCACAGCTAGTTTGTTCTAAAATTAATTAATATTATCATAAATAATATTATCGATAGATTTAAGAAATAAGCATTTCATTAAAATGTCATCTTGTAAAAAAAGAAGAAGATATGCTTATATTTAGATAAAAAAACATCAAAATTCAGCATACAGTTAACGATTTGTGTAAATAAAAACGTCTAAGATGACAAATTAATTTTTAAACGGTTTTACGACCTCTGCAGAGCTGAATAATACCACCAAATGGTTCGAAACTGTATAGTTTAAAAAATCTGAGTATCTACACTAGACCTTCAGGTTATTAATTTATATTAATAAATAATTTAATAATTAAAATCCACGAGGATTACAAGTTATAGAAAAAAAGGAAATTACAACATAGGCAACACCTCATACAAAATAGGAAAGTTAATTTTCTACATTAACTGATGGGATATTCAAAACACCAACCTAAGAACAGGTACCTTGATTTGAAATCGACTTTTAAACACACACAAACACTGAAGTCATCAATATTGTTTAAATCATAGATTTACTATAAATTAAAGATATCTTATATTGTAAAATAAACTGTGTTGCATGGCCTTGTTGCAGACGAATCCGTCCGTAACTTGGGAACTGTACTAACTTATTAAAGTCGCTGTCGGAAATTTCATACCGGTCAGTTAACTTTAGCTAAACATCGGAGAAACTACTACTTACTGGCTCGGTTTAGTTTATACGTAAATTGTTATAATAATACTAAATGATAAATAACATTATTATTATTTATTAATTCATTGGATAATTGCTTGAAGTATTGGTATTAAAAAAAGGAAACATAACGACATTAAAAATCTAAAGTTTACAATTGTGTTTTGTGTACTAGCTTTTGTTCGCAACTTCGTCCGCATGGTTTAGTTACATCGGGCAGCATTTCTAAAAACGCTGAAACAGTTATTTATTCATTATATCGTGTAAAATACCCGAATATAAAGTTTCAGGATTTTATCTTTGCCAATGACGATTTTCTATTCAAATTTTAATTTCCTAATTGAACACTTTTATGATAATAAAAAACAACCTATATCCTCTGTCATCAACTCTATTTAATAGGTTAGATGTAATAGACATATACACAGAACTACTTTCACAGAAGAACTACTACGTATGTATAATATTTAATATGGAATAATTAAACGATTCTCCTTGTCCATCATTAAGTCATATGTATAATAAGAGATCACCAGACTTTTACTAAGAACAATATAAATTAAAATTACTGTAAATAAAGTAGATTTTTACACTCTCAACTCTCGAGTTTAAATTGAGGAGATGGAGGAGAGAGATGTGTGAGTGAACTGATGTAAAGTTGTTGAGGTTAATATACATTGAATGTGATAGGTTATTGCCCATTTTCCCTATTGATTTCATTTGATTCCATCGACAGGGAAGGCTCGAGCTCCAGCAATTGGGAAATTAATAGACTGGTGATGATGTCGTGATACGAAATACAATTATTAACTTAATTAATAGCAAAATATCCGCGAGGTAAAAATAAAATTAATTAAAAACTAAAATCTATGAAAAATTCTTTTAACATAACGCAGTTTAGTTAAAAATAAACGCCATCTAGTATAGCTCAGCTAAAAGTTCTTACTTAACGCCATCTAGTATACTCACAAAATATATATCTAATGTATTTTCTTTCATATATGACATGATTTGACTTGAATATTTCCAAAAAACTAACTCGAAATGTTGTTGTTTATTATAAATAATGTTGACTAAATGATTTTCATCACTATATAAGGATATCTGTAAAAATAATATTAAATAAATTTACTACAATGACAAATCAAATGGTTGCTATGGTAACATTTTGATTCCCCGTAAAAACTTCCTCTCTTTTCATCCCTTTAAGTGCCATTTTCAGGATAAAATTATATATCAATTTTCATCGATATAGGTCCAAAAAAGTTTAAAACAAACGTTTTCACCTTTTTTAACCTCCTTCGGGGTAGAATTTCCATAAAATCAGTTCTTAGTACACCTCTACGCAATACAAAGAATGTGCTCTCCAAATTTAAAGTTTCTAACACCAGCGGTTTAGGCTGAGCGTTGACTGTCAGTCAGTATGTCAGGACATCTTTTTTATAGATATAGATAATTAAGTAAACGTACAAAGGATATACAACTTCTTATCACCACAACACGAAGGACATACACGATGAGGTTTTCGGCAACTGGGACCACATAAAGTCAAACCATGGAGCTAAAGATGGTGATATTATATATTATTAAATATTATTCTTAATGAGAAATTATTGAAAATTCACTTTGTTCCTAATACTTTAAGATGGCATTGGGTAAGTTCGAATCTCACCTCAGAGTAATATAGCATTGTGATTGCAAAATTGATCAAATGTGATAATCGTAAATGGAATTCATTTAAGCATTAACAGAGCTCTACCGACCAGTGTAGCATTACAGGTTTAATTAACTAGTGAAGTGTTAAATACTTGTTAATTGTGACCGGAACAGAATGTTTACCGGTCGGAAACTCTTTGAGACGTAACTTTATTGAATAAACAATTTTGTTAGGAAGCCTTCACATGCTCTAATATATTTCACTTCGATGTTACTTTATATAAAGAACTACATTAGTAAAACTTTCTTCAAAGGAATATGTTACACTAGCTTTCCGCCAGTGTTCCCTAGGGAATTGTTTAATGGGATAAAAAGTAGCTTATATGTTAATTCAGGCTTAGAATTCTCTGTATACCAAATTTTATCATAATCTGTTTAGTAATTTTTACGTGAAACTGTAAAAAATACCATATTTATACAAATTCGTCCTCACAAACTTACGCATTTATAATATTAACAGGATAGGATATTTATTTAATAGAAAAATATTATATAAATTTCGTTAGCTTGAGTCAGATCTAGAAACCTTAACTTATCGATCCCATGTTGTCACATTAACTAATGAACTAAGATACTGAGTTAAATAAAAACTTAAAAAAAAATAAGTTGGTAAAATGATTAGTATTACCCACTTTGAATAGCATAACCAGTTTTCCAGAACATAGAAAATTATTCAGTAAGGACCTACTTAAATAAACAAGCTAACCAGAATGAATCCTTGTGCATTATAAATAAGGGTACATTTAGTGTTAAGTGGGAAAACCAACAAGTAATATGTGCGTATAACCATTGCTGTTTTTGTTCAGACAATTTGTTTGGACCACAGTGGGAGCTTGCAATATAAGAACAGTTGTTTTGTGCATATAGAACTTTGGTCCATAAATAATATTACAAAATAAAAGATGGTGTTTGCCATATTAATATGTATGCCTAAGCCTATTCATATGTATCCTATTTTTTTCTGGTTAATTCATTCGTTACAAGCTCAAGTTGGATGAAATAGCCAAACGTAAAGACAATTATATGCTACATCGATATCCCCCTTAATTGAAAAATGAATTAATTAAACCTGAAGGCCTTATTATGCTTATTTTTATGTAATAATCGCATCTCAATATAATCTCAACTATTTGCCGTTTGCCATTGTGTTATCTACCTGAAGTCCAATATTATTAGAGCCGTCTTCCTCACAAATCAATGCCGATAGATATATAATAGTACTGGACTTAAAGTAGTTGAAATTCTATTGTCTTGTAGGATAGATCAAAGTTTTAGGCAGTTAATAGATAAACGAAAGTCAATAGTATGTGGCTGAAAATTAAGATAGATTTGTGCATAAACAAGAGTTGATAAAGAGAAACATGATTACTTATAAAAAGGTAAGTTCAAAAGTACCACCAGTCCCAGAAAAATTGAGAAGGAATATATTATTTTGGTATGCATACGTGAAAAGAGAAAACAATTTACATAGTGACAAAAAGGTTCCAATCTTGTATATGGACTAAAACGCATGGTGAGAAAAACTGTAGAAAAGATAGATTGTATGACATACATAAGACCAGCTGTTTTCCAGTGACTTTAGTATAAGTCAACCGCGTGTAATATTGCTACCCATAGGTGAAATAATTTTTAAAAACAGCCCATATTTTGAGCCGACCACAAATGAAATATACGAGTATTTTAATGACCACCATGATCAAATGATTCAAGATGGTGGGAGTTCGTGATTAAACATATTTAAATTAAATCTGACAAAATATGAGAGTGTATACATGAGTTTGCATGCTTCTATTGCAGCCAAGTAAAGTCGCGTAAGGAAACTAGTTTGTATTTATAACATAAATGAATCTTATTTACTATTGTTATAAAGTATATGCTTTAAATGTGTAAAAGTGTTTTATATACACGGACTAGACACGATTATAACTTTGAAAACGCACTAAAGCTGAACAAAAAAAAATACCTAAAAAAGCATGCGTCCATATCTCTTTTTCTTAACGTCTACAAAAACATTTTACCCTTATAATGAAACAAAAAAGTGTCCGAGCTAAAAAATCTACAAATTAACTCGTCATTTAGCATACGGTAAGCCGGATGTTGCACATAAGACAACGGTTAAATGCGTTCAAAAATTCCTTATATTATAACTCTTACCTTATTATATGTCTCTATCAAAACTTTCTGTTGTCATCTAAAACACGAGAATCGTTTTCCATGTTATTGTTTTTATTTTGCGTTTGTTCTACCAAGTTGTGTAAGTTTCGTGTAATTGTTCTAAGTTTGTGCGAGAGAAGTTTCCCCGTTTCCTCTGGGAGCGCGGAGGCCGCGGGCTGATCGCGGAACGTTGCGACACATACTGAAGCCGATTGTTCATTCAGCCCTCTGCTCCGCCGTTATTCTTACGCAGATGTATGACGGAGCCAGATATGAACCGCACAGATTTTCAGGCAACTTTTCTCTTAGCTCTGGAACTTGTGACAAAACTATAAATTCTGTATTAATGAGGATACGCGCTCGGCTGAAATATGGTCCCCTATTGGGTATCGATGTGAAACTGTTATTTTTGTGTATATGAAAATGTGGTTTTAGAATAAGAACAAACCAGTGAACACCGTAAATAAAAACGCAAATACTCTAGGTTTTTACACATGTTTTATAAACATTGTCAGTGCAAGTATTTGTATTTTTTTTAAAATTCAATTATGCATATATGCTGAACTTTATATGATAGTTTCATATTAGTTTATTGAGCAATATTCATATATCTTTTGAGATCGCTTTTTGAAAATTTTTTATTATGTAATTTTTTTATGTATATTTTATTATATTATATATAATATATTTTTATATCTCTAAGGCAAATACAAATATTTTTCCTTAAAAAAAAACATAAGTTTAAACTTATCATTGTGTGACACTAATAAAAATATGACAAGTATTCTATTACTTTCTTAAATATGAATTTTCATACCCAATTTATTTTTCAAATGTACCTATATATAATTAAGGTATAAAAATATTTAAATACAGCAATATCAATATTTTAGTCATGATGGGGTTAATTTTGACCGACAACCAACTCACGGACGGACTAACTTAATGAAATGGAGATAGAATAATTAGCCACTTGGCATTAATTTCCAAAGTTATTAATTGAGGCGTTAGAAAGGACCGTCATCTGCTCGCTGGTAGAGGGGATGGCGACCATCTTATATATATGTTATATGCGCTCTAAATGACGCCCGCCATTGTGTTGTGACAAAAGCTCATTAGCGAACAAGATTTACTTCAAACTATAGAGGTTCTTACAATAATCATTGTGACCTTTTATTTGGAATCATAAACCTTAAGCATTAAAGGCCTTTAAGGTTACCTTGCATAAGTCCATTGTAATATCTATAATAATATATAAAGTAAAGAATTTAGCCACTTTAATGACCAGTTAGAACTTGCAAGTTGGCATTATGGCAACATTCACCTGTAAATTAACCTCCTCCGTTGACATTCACGCAGCCACTACTGTGGAGAGGAAAAGTACGTGTAGATGTAGTTTGTGAAATTTGTTTAGCTATCTTTTGTAGTAACCAATAGTGCTTAAACTACCACAAAATTTCATGAATTTTTATTTCTCTTCATAATTTTACACACATAATAATTTGTAAAGTAAATTGATAAATTTGTAAGTTATTTTCTACCCAAAGGCTATCGGTCAGTTACACAAATGTCTATTAAGGTTTAATGACGCTTTTAAGCTCTAATGAATGTCGATTTTGTATGGGTGATGTATCTTTAAACTATGAGAATTTTAATAGACGTTTGTGCAACTGTCGGTATATGCAGCACTTTTAAAATAGTCATAATGATTTGCGATTATTCAATTAAAAATAGTTATTTAAGTGCCATTGGCTATCCCTCTAGAGGATAGGAATCTACGTCATTGCCGAACCCAATGATAAATTTAGATAGAGATAAATTTAGAATAAAATCCTTCATCAAAACCTTTTAAATTTACTTGGTTTATTTTAGTTAAACGCTAATTTTTAAAGTATCAATAACAAATAAGATCATCATTCAACGAACTATATAAAATTAAGAAAAATCTATTTTTTCTTTGGTGGGGGAGGACTACAATACCCCTCATGGAAATTTTTCATATAATTCCACGGTGACTCCACTTGGAATCTACGGTACTCTTGAGCAAACTCAATCGGCTCATATACGATCTTTTTTAATTCGTCATCGTATCTCAACTCCGTGTAACCGACCAAAGGGAAATCTTTTCGCAGAGGATGGCCAGCAAAACCATAGTCCGTAAGAAGCCTCCTCAAGTCTGGATGATGAGTAAATATAATGCCAAACATATCATACACTTCCCTTTCTAAGAATTCGCAAACCTTCCACAGGGAATACGCCGAGTGGACCGGTGTGAGCTCGTCAGTGTATGTTTTAACTCGAATCCGTTGCCCAAATCTCAAGGAAAGGAGGCAATATATCAATTCGAATCTAAACGGCCTTCTGGGTACATCAATGGCTGTTACAGTTGAGCATTGATTGAAACATGCATGCTGATGATGGGCGAGAAAAGTGAGTACTGGAAAAACTCCTTCTGGCGCCACAAGTAGTTCTAATTCATCGCAATGTTGCATCTGTACTTTCTGTACATATTTAGGCATACAAGCAGCGCAGTAGATACCATACTCATAGAGTTTCTGACGCTCAGGATTATTATGTTTTCTTGATGTGTATGCTTTGGCCTCTATCGGTTCTAGACACAATGGTGGATTTACTTGCACATTACTTTGGTCTGATTTATCTTTGCTATTTAAAAAAGAGTGAGTATTAATTTGTCGTCTTAATACTGTAGCGACACTTCTAATAACTGATGTAACTATTTTAAACATATTTTTATAATTGCATGAATAATGATAAACTTATATTAGATTTTTAATAGGATAGATCAAAGACAGGTGTAATGACATGTAGCGAAATGTATGTATATTATACTCTTTATAGTTTACAAATTGTTTATGTTACGGATGTACAATAAATATATTTATTCTCGGCGAGTCAGTATGCCAGACACAAGTTTTTACGTCAAAAATGTCATTTGTACTTTTCATCTTTATCTAATAACGTGTAAAAAGGATTTAAATTAACAATATTTTAATGGTGTTTATAACTTCAAGAAGTGACACTATTAATTTTTAAATTTATTTTAGGAAAGAAATGAAATCAAATTCATATATAACTATGTAGCTGTTTGCCGCGTAAATTATAAACTCATCCTTGTATAATATAAATTCACGTGCGTGAAAGAATTTTTAAAATCGGTCTATTATTTTCATAGCTTATTCGATGCAACAAAGAAACAATGAAATCTTTTCTTTTTATAATATTAGTATAGATTTTTTTTTTAGTTAAGAACTGAAAATCAAATATGATGTTATTTATTATATAGCTTTTGATAATATTAAACTTATATAAAACAGCCATCAATTCGCTACAGCGCGCTGTGTCATGTAAATCCTGGTTTCGTTGAAATAATAATTGAGTTACAACGTCACTCAAGAGAGCTTTATCAAATCTGTATATGACACGCGAAATTCGCAAGCAGCTTTCAAATTTTGATTAATTTTTTATTGCACATTTTATTGTGTGTGTGGCCTTATGTCGGCTTGTTGAATTAACCTAATTAAAGTTAGATTGTAATTGAAACTTTTTCCTAGACATTTTTAGTTTTGTCATAACTTTGGCAATAGTTTGGCAAACTTAGTTTGCTTTTGCACGTCAGTATGCGATAGGTCCTAAGACAAAGCATAGTATTCATAGATAGATTATGGTCTTTCGACCATATCGAGAAAATTCGATGAAAATAATCAATGGTTATCATCATCGTGTTTAATTTAGCATTCGGTCATACGAAGAATAATTTCTCAAAAACATTTTAATAGTTTTTTTTTTTATTTTTATTAATATATGATGTATGCACAACGATTTGAAATTATAATTATTGAATGTATATGCTGATTAAATTATCTAATTCATTCATTCTTGTTTTTTTACTTTAACATCAAAAAGTACTCTAACTGATTAATTTACAGTTTCATATTTCATATAGCAAATTAATGATCAATCTTAGAGAAGAACAAAGATCAAATTTTTTTGATATTTGAATAATATTTTCGATATTTGATCTTTGTTCTTTGATCAAATATTTTTTATATATGATCTTTGATATTTGATCTTTGTTTTTTTTTAATAATTCTGATTAATATTCTTCTGTTCGAATATATTACAAGTACAAGGTTTTCATTACATAGACGGTTTGAAGCTGGTGTAATAGATGAAAATTTTATTTTTAATCTTTTATGATTATATGTATAACACTCATCAAAGTATTTAAAGCTCTTTCATTAACCGTTGCTCCTTTGATGGTACTTACGTACACTTAGCATATGTAATGCTCAAGTTTAACATAATAATCCTTGTTAGAACATACTTAAAATATGGGCTGTTATCAAAACATTAAGGGCGTGTTTTTAATAAAAACAATCATCCAATTGATAAACGACATCTCACGAATATAATATAATATAGTCTAACACTCATATAGATATAAAAAAACTTTTTTGAATATTTTATTATCAATTTTGACATGCTTAATGACTATATTTTTTTTTATTTAAAGTTTAATAACTTGATATAAAATTTTAGAATGTCATAAAGCGACACTTATTATTAATTTACCCTTTATAAAATACGTCAACTTTTATTGACTTATAACATTAAAGTATTTTTAATTTATAGTAAAAAAATTGCCTTGTATGTATACTAAACATATTTAATGAATCACCGAAAGTATATTATAATGTTGTGAGATAACTTTTATTTATGATTTAATTGAAACATTAAATATATAATAATGTTATCTACCAACATATAATTAGAAAATTGTTACGAACGTTTAATAATTATCATCAAATTATGGTTACAAAACACAGTCTTGGCGCGCCTTGCAAAGAACAAGACTTTACACTTTCGGGAACTTTTCGAGTGGAAGTTCCGACATATGTCCCGCAGGACTACGAGCTACACACAAATGAAACTGGAGTGCACCCCTGTCACAGTAGATAAACGTCGACAGTAATGTAATTATGGAATAACTATATTTATACCATCTGACTCTGTGAATTTCGTACCGGCTTATAATTAATATAAGCTTTTTTTCATTTTTATAAAAATAATAGCACCTTTTACATGTGAAGGTGGGGAAACTGTTACTCATGATCAAAAAACTGCACATTAATATTATACTTATTAATATTATATTATACTTACCTAGATTTAAATAGAAATAGTTTTTCTTATTTAAATACAATTTACTCTATGATTTTATAATGCTATCATAATAATAATGGTTGAAAGTGAAATATCATCAAGATCATGGATACATACAGCAAAATTATCGATTTCTTTTTAAAATTAAATTGTGAGATTTGGCGAATATATATTGCAAGTTAAAGAAAAGTTAAAGAAAAATCATGCAAATTAGAAATATTCTGAAATGGCCCCCTCTAAATGTGCGTGAAGATTTATGCACTAGCTTTTGCCCGCGACTTCGTCCGCGTGGTATTGTTACTTTGGGCAACATATATTTTCCAAAAACTCTGTTGTTTTTTGAGCTGATGATGAAATTGTTTAAGTTTGAAGATTCTACAACAAAAATAAAGTAACAAATATCCAATATATTTTAGCACATTATTCTTTGAAAACTAGAGATATTAATCCAATCCAATCCAATTTGAAATACAGATAGAAAAAACAGTTTTGAAGTTTACACAAAACTTAATAGAAAACGTAATATATGCACAATTATTTGAAAGAAACGTTAGTGCATACTACTTTAGAATAAACGCCATCTAGTATAGCAAAGCTTAAATATCTTACTAAATTTTATTTTAAAACTCAATCTTGAGCAAAACAGTACCTACGCAATAAGACAAATGTACCCTCCAAATTTCAAATCTTTATGACCAGTATTTTAGGTTATGCGTTGTCTATGAGTAAATTAGGATATATCTCTTCTTTTTTTAAATATATGGTGGTGATGTGAACGTTAAAGGATGGGAATCTTTTCATAACACTTCTTTATAAAGTATATTTTTAACTTGTCCGTCCGGAGCCGCTATGATTATTAGAGATCTTGAAGAGCTGACCGGAGAGCACGCCACGTAAAATAACAGTCTCACCTCGTAACCTAAAGTAGTGAATTATATAGGAACTTAAGTTCAGTTCATATCTCAAAACTTTTATATCCTCCAATATATTTTTAAAATCCACCGGAGCTAGGTCACAATCCTGCCTTTATCATAATCTGCGACATATCCATAAAACTATAGAAATAGCCTTTACTACTCCACCTGCGCACTGCACTCCTACATTTATCTCACTAAACTTAATCAAGTAATTGTTTTCTGTAGTCACCCTACTTTCTTAAATTTTTTGTATAATCTAAAAATTAAAATACATATTGCACCACAAAAACAATGCGACATCAGCGCCTCTTACAGAGACTTACGTTACTATTTTACGATATGACTATTTAGTCTAGGCCACATTATGAAGTAGTCATACTATCAGCCGTCCATATCGTTAAACACAAATCATTCATTGATCTGGCTAGGCCACAGAACACAGAAAGACGTTAGAAGGGCCTTGTGGGCGTGGCAGTGTAGCCACGATCCTGGACAAATGTACAGGATCGTGACTTCACCACGCGATCGCGATGTTTAGTCATTCACGAACGCGCGCGCTGTAAGTACTGTGAAACACGCCACTAAAAGTGTTAAAAATGCCGACTTGCGCAGTTATTATTTGCAATACAAGAAGCCCATCCTCAAGTAGGTCCAAAGGAAGGATTTCTTTCCATTAGTAAGTAGAACACTTCTCAAATTTAGTATTTTTAGTCGAAATTCGTGAAATGTTATCAAAAGTGTGAATCACAAAAAATATTTCCAAGAAAATATACATTGCTGGAGAAGTGCGCATATTTATTACATTGTGTCGTACTAAGCACGTAATGTAAAGAACATCGCGAAATCAGCGTTTTAAATAGCAACATAATAGATTACGATAGATGGGTAGTGAAGTGCCTGGAAACATTTAATCGATTCTTGGTGTGTTAGTTAGTAAAAACTAAATAAAAGTATGGACGATAAAAATAGTGGTAATAAAAAATACATTTAATCAGAGATTAACCATATTGACTTCGTTTGGTATGCGTTTGTATATTAATTTAATAATGAGTGTGGTAATAAGTCTGTTTTTATATTCTTAATATTGTAACAGAAAATTAGTTTTTTTTTTATTTTGAACCATTAACAACAATACTTTTTAAATCATCGGAATCCGTTCAGGATAAGTTCCAATAGCATTTATTGTACTGATAGTATTTTTTTATTTTGTATATATTTATTTACATTATATTGTTTGTCAATATTACTAGTTTTATTTAAGCGATGTTGCCGATCTTATCTGTTTACTTGATACGACATCGAGTAACGTAACGTAAAAAAAATACCTACTATTATTACTTATAAACAAACATATTTATATGCAAATAAATATTTAAGCTCGACTAGTACCGATTCAATGTTAGTTCATTAGTAATTTAAATATTTCTTATTGAATCAACCAACTAATTAAGAATTAATATCTAAAGAAAAAAGATAATGTCTCTTTGTTTTTGTTGTTGTTGTTATTCAATATCGATAGTAAATAACTTTATGTCAATCACTAGTGTGATATGTCAAATTAAAATGGCTTTTACACGTTTATTGCGCACTATAGATGTCTGTTATGATTGAGCGTGATTAGTTATAGTTATATTGGAGCGTTCTGATTGGCATGTTTAAAATGCAAGTGTGTGCATATATTTTGTATAATTGGTCTGATATTTCGTCTGATGTACGGCGGACTAAAACTGGGGCAAGACTGGCGACATCGGTTTTCGTACAAAGGATGCATGATCGCCTTTCTAACCTCTTTTCCGTGTTATGTGGGCCAGGCCACATCATGATTTGGGCAGCAAGATTTATTCATTTCGGTAAATACAAACATTTGATGAAATGGCTGGCCGCATCATGAATTGGTCAATTGTACGATCTGGCCACGACATATATACTTGGAAACCCAAACCTATACTCAGATGCTTACATCATATGAATGAACAAATGTAAAATAGGATCTGTAAAATCTATCAATACTTATCCCCATTAAATTAATTACTGATGAAACGAAAAACACAAATAATTTCAATTTCTTTTATCTAAACTTAGAGCAACATTTCATCATCATAGTTATTTAAAGCCTGTGTAAAGTTATTTGATCAAAATAATATAGAATATACTTGCAATCAAGCAAAAAAATCTGCGATTTAGAATTCATTTAACGACATCTAGTGTAGGTCATATATATATATATATATGATTGGTGGAAGTGGTCTTAGTTGCGGTCTCTTGATTTGATTGCCATGCCAGAGGGGCGTATTGGTAATCGAGCCTGGTGGGACTGTAACTGAGACTGCTCATTTGGAGTTTTCGTTTCGGAGTTTTGTGTGCCGATGATGACTTTAGTGGGAGTTGCCCCTCGGAGTTTTATGTTCTTAGGTGACAACTTAGCAGTGGGAGTCGTCTCGAA